GTCACAACAGTTGAAAGGAATAGTTGCTATTTTTATATGTTCTGTCCACGACCAAAAACACCAGCTGCAGAGGCGCCTGGATGGTTCAGTTAGATGACCGACTCTTGACTTTGGCTCAGGTCACGATCACTTAAGCCCGAGCCCTGCGTCAGGCTCTCGCTCGGCGTGGAACCTACCTGGGATTCTCTCTTTCCCTCAGCCCTTCCGCTGGCCATTCTCTCCCTCTCTTTCTCTCTCAAAAAAAAAAAAAAAAAATACCAATGCATTCCTTGCTTTTCTCAAAAGGCATTCTAAACTTTTTTTTTAATGTTTATTTTTGAGAGACAGAGTGTGAGCAGGGGAGGGGCCACGAGAGAGAGGGAGACACAGAATCTGAAGCAGGCTCCAGGCTCTGAGCTGTCACCACAGAGCCCGATGTGGGGCTCGAACTCAAGAACCACAAGATCACGACCTGAGCCGAAGTCGGCCAGTCAACCGACTGAGCCACCCAGGTGCCCCAAAAAGGCATTCTTTATATGCTTTCTTTTTCCTACAAATTTTTCTCAAACTGGCATTTCCAAGGCTTATTCTATTCCCACCTTTTTTATCATGTCCAACAGACTGTGAGATCCTTAAGGACCAGGTTTGCGGTCTCTGGGTCCCACACCCACACAGCCCCCAGGACAGGGCTGGTGGCACTGTGGGCAGCCATCGGTCACCACGACCAGAAGCAAGGACAGCCCCATCCGTACGATAGAATATTTCTTATTCAGCCACAAAAAGAACGAAGTTCTGACTCAAGCTACGATGTAGGTGAATCCCAGAAACATGATGCTAAGTGAAAGAAGCCAGACAGAAAAGGACAGACGTGTCTCCATTTAGGTGAAATGCGCAGAGGAGGCAAATCCACAGAGACAGAAAGTACATTAGCAATTGAGAGCAGAGAGGAATGGGAAGGGGTTGGAAACGGGTAAAGGGTTTCTTGCTGGACTAATGAAAATGTGCTGGAATAAGACAGGTACACCTTGGAGAATATGCTAAAACTGACTGAAGTTTAAAGTTAAAAAGATGAATTTTATGGTATGCAAATTATATCTCAAATTTTTTTAAGCTGATACATTTTGAGAGAGAAAGCAAGCACACTGTGAGCAGGAGAGGGGTAGAGAGAGAGGGAGAGAAGATCCCAAGCAGGTTCCATGCTCTCAGCGCACAGCCTGACTCGGGGCTCGAACTCATGAACCGTGACATCATGACCTGAGCTGAAATTGAGAGTTGAAGGCTTAACCGACGGAGCCACCCAGGCGCCCCCAAATGCAGACGCTTTTAGGACATTTCCTTATTGTACTATTTCCCCAAATAGAAACTGATCGACTAAACGGAGTTCAAATTTCAAAGACAAACTCTTCACGCACCGTAGCGGGGCCAAGACTCACTGCATGATGTCAGCCGTGCTGAGCACCGTCGCCGGGGAGGAGGGAAGGGAAGGAAGGAGGCCTTCCGAGTGTCCACGAGGAACGCATGCCATTTGCTCACCCTCCACCGGAGTTCGGTCGGCTTTCTCCAAGGGGCAGGCCCGGGCCGCAGCTCGCTGGGAAGGAGAGCAAGCGAACCGGCCGGTCCTGCTCCTCGCTGGTGACGGGCTCGGGCAGACCGGGACGGCTTGTATGGTCATTTCTAATGTGTGACTTGACTTCCAGAGACGGGCTCGATCATTTTTTTTTTTTATTTTTTTTATTTATTTCTAGGAGAGAGAGAGAGAGACAGCGTGAGCAGGGGAGGGTCAGAGAGAGAGGGAGATACAGAATCTGAAACAGGCTCCAGGCTCTGAGCCGGCAGTCAGCACAGAGCCCGACGCGGGGCTCGAACCCACGAACCGCGAGATCATGACCTGAGCAAAAGTCGGACGCTTAACCGACTAAGCCACTCAGGCGCCCCATCGATCACTTTAAAACAGCAGGACGGGACAGGGGGACGGGCGTGTCTGGGGGGCTCAGTCAGTCAAACTTCCGACTCTTGATTGCAACTCGTGTCATGATCTCACGGGTCATGAGAACAGGCCCTGCGTCGAGCTCGGCGCTGAGCATGTGGAGCCTGCTTGGGATCTCTCTCTCTTCTCTCCCTCTCTCTCTGCCCCTCCTTTTGCTCTTCTGCTCTCTCTAATTAGATACACTAAAAAAATTAACACACCAGGACGGGAATCAAACAAATGTGAATCTATCAAGATGAAAGTTTCCAGCTCGTTCCCCCGGGGGCAGCATGCTAAGAGCAGATCCACCTGGTGGGGCTCTCACCCTTGATGAATGATGTGCACTAGACAGAAGGTCCACAGACACCCGGCCTCTCTTGGGGCTGTGGCCAGAACTACCGTTTCCCTTCGAGGATTCCAATTACACGCAGAGAGCCCCCGCCTCCAGGAAGCCATCTATCAATCTATCGCTACAGACTTGGCCCTGAGAGGCAACCGGGCTCGCCACCTACAAACAAAGCCTCCTTCAATGAACCTGAATTGCAGGAATGAAGAAAGACCCTCGAAGGTCACTGCCAGACACCCTTCTGCAAATTTCCCTTGCTCTCAAGTGTCTACATCATTTCTGTACAAAGCCATCCGACTGTATGGGGTCTGTCTTTGATTTCACGTGTGCGTGCGGGGCATTTAGATCAGAAAAGTTTTGGATCCGGGCTTTCCGAAAGCCTAGTTATTCCGAGATGCTGGTTCTGAACTGGGGTCGCCACGCCCACAGGGGGTAGCTGTTGACGTCCAGGCGGTGACAACCTGGGAGGGTGTGACTGGCATCGAGTGGGCAGAGATGTGCCACATCCTCTAGGGTCCAGGTCGGCCTTCGGGACAAGGCACCCCCAGCCCTAGATGCCCAGTGCTGAGACGACCTGCTCAGAAGGAGGGCACCGCAGGCCACGCAGGGGCTGATCCATTGAGGCCGGTCCGTCAGAGCCCAGGCCCGGTGCCCGCTGACACAATGTCGAATGGCCCCGATGTCTGACAGCATGCTTACAGAGAGAGAGAGAGAGAGCACGTGCCCATGTGCGGGGGACACACTGGAAGCATACTCAGCACGGGGCCTGACTTCCAAGTCAGACTCCATCTCACGACCCTGAGATCTCATGACCTGAGCCGAAATCAAGAGTCAGATGCTCAACCCACTGAGCCACCCAGGCGCCCCTCAGTCAACGTTCTTAAACATCCTCTCTTAGCTTCTCTCTCACTTTCTAGAATATATATTTATTTTGAGGGTGCCGCGGTGGCTCAATCACTTGGGCATCTGACTTGGGCTTGGGTCACGATGTCACAGTTCGTGCGTTCGGGCCCTGCGTCGGGCTCTGTGCCGACTGTGTGGAGCCTGCTTGCGATTTTCTGCCTGCTCCACCCTCACTTGTGCACTCCCCACTCTCTCAAAATCATCTTTAAAAAACAGAAAATGAAATAAAATAAAATGTGTATTTCTTTTTAAGACAGAGAGAGCATGATCCAGGGAGACAGAGAGAAAACCTAAGGTGCCCCCTACGTTCAGCGCAGAGCCTGACATGGGGTTCAGTCCTATGACCCCAGGATCATGACTTGAGCAGAAATTAACAATCACACGCTCCACCAAGAGAGCGACCCCAGGCGTCTCTTGCTCGTGCTCGTTTTTAGACAGCCCATGGGCCACCATAAAGTTACAGCCACAAAACCTCCTCATAAGGACCCATCTGCTCATATGGGACAAACCCTGAGGTGATTACAGCTCTGGGGACGTCAGAGTGGGGATCTGCAAACCCCTCCTATCAACATCGTGGCTAAAACAAAACCTTACAAGGAACCTTACAAGCAGGGAGGAGAGAGGTCCGTGAGCAAAAAGTTATTTCATCAGTGATAGTCTGGATTGTATAAAAAAACAGCGGTTGTCATCAATTCGATCTAGAAGGTCACTTGAGTCAACACGGAAAACTCTGGAACCCAAACACCTGGGTCTCTGAGACTATCTCCATCGCACTCGAATATCTAACTTTCTCTATGTTTGGACCTGATCAATAAATAGCACCGTATCCAGGAAATTCAGTTACACGGAGCGGCGGAGCCGAAGCCCGAACGGTTTCAGGAAGCGTGGCTGCCCACGAGGCGGGTCCTCGCTGCAAGCCACGGGGCAGGCGAACGGTACTCCGAGCCAGCCCAGGAAGACAAATTCCCAGGCTGGGGGCCGGGGTGGGTAGAGCTCGCTCACCAACGCATTTCAGTGTGCACGATTTTCCCCACAGGCTTCCATGTAAATTTTGGAACCGAATCATTTCCTAGATGCCCAAGGCCCACACGAGGGTCCCACAGCACAGTCTGCTGACCGCAGAGCAACCCGGAGACCCCGGCACTCAAGTCCTTCAGTGAAAAGGACAGAGGAGGAGCGCCAGCCCCGGCAGACGGGGTCCCCAGCTGCAGGGCCGCCGTGAGCCAGGCAGACCAAACTGTCCTGAAGCCACAGAGGCCCGGTCACAGCATTCACGGCCCGACAGCGTCTGTGAGGGGTCTGCACAGACAGTCTATCTCCCATTGATCAAGCCACCCAGGCGAGCAGGGGACACCGCTTAGAATTACAGACGTCTGGAGGCGCCTAGGGAGCTCGGTCGGTTACGCGTCCGACTTGAGCTCAGGTCATGAGCTCACGGTTCGGGAGTTCAAGCCCTGTTTTGGGCTCTGTGCTGACGGCTCAGGGCCTGGAGCCTGTTTCAGATTCTGTCTGCTTGTCTCTCTGCCCCTCCCTTGCTCATGCCCTGTCTCTCTCTCAAAAATAAACATTTAAAAAAATTACAGGGGTCTACAGTGCTTAATAAGCAGCATGAAACTATTAAAAAGAGTCATAGGTGATGAAATGCAAGAGGAGCCTCAGTTGGCTTCTGTGACTTTCTGTCACACCCTCAAGTGTATTACAGGGGTCACGGACACCTCTCTCACGACGCGCCCCCTCCTGGTGTGGTCAAGGGCTTGCGGGTGGCCCTGCGGCTCCGCAGTTCCCCTGCACCGGCCACAGGCTCACCTTCAGACAAGAGGCTCAGGGTCTCATCGGACGCCTGCCCGCCGACACGCACCGGCTTCCTGGAGACGGGGCTCTCCCGCGGCTCACCGGAGACATCTGGGGACAGGGAGGTTCCCAAGGACTGCCACCGAATCTCCTTCTCGGGGCGCTGCAAGTCCAGGCTGCATCCCGTCCAGCCGTAGAAGACCAATGACAAGAGAAACCCCTGGGCTGGGTTCAGGAGCCCCTGCGAGAAGGACGAAAAGACACGAGTCGGTCAGTCGGTGCGCTGGGACTGTGAGCGTGAACTCCATGCGGATGCCCAGTGTGCGGCCTCCCTGGGCAGTGACCTGGCTGGCTGCTTTGGGGCAAGACCAAGGTTGGCTCCAGGTGCTGGACGTGCAGGAGGGGGTGGGGGAGGGGACAGGAGGGGAAGGGGGTGTGCTTGCAACAGGGGCAACCGAACCGATCTATGTTCACCCCTGCCCAGGCAGCTAGGCCCTCCTACACAGAGATGCTCCCCGTCTTGTGCTTCCGGGTCAGAATGTGATTCAACAGAAGGACCTGAGGCTGAACATGAGGCTAGGGGACCTTCCTCTACTTCCATGTTCTAAGTACCCATGAAGTGAACCAAAGCGACCAAGCGAAATTCCAAACCAAAGCAAAGAGGTGGAGCAGCGAATGCCGATCTCTTTTTTAATTTTTGTTTTAACATTTATTTATTTTTGAGACAGAGAGAGGTAGAGCACGAGCTGGGGACGGGCAGAGAGAGAGGGAGACACAGACTCCGAAACAGGCTCCAGGCTCCAAGCCGGCAGTCAGCACAGAGCCCGACGCGGGGCTCGAACCCACGAACCGCGAGATCATGACCTAAGCGAAAGTCGGACGCTTAACCGACTAAGCCACCCAGGCGGCCCTAAATATATTTTTAAAAAATACTAGAGATTCCCTAATTGTCACCTTTAACATCTGCATAACATTCCATCTGGTTGAAAAAGTGACATTTACGTAGCCATTCCCTGGTAGTTAACTTCAGTTGCCTATAACGCTTTGTAATTATACATGATGTCACCAGGAATAGCTTCATCCCTATCGTTTTTCCACAGTCACATTTTTTCAAGTGAAATTCTCTGATATTTTGGGCCTGCCTGAAAGCTCTGATACGCTGTGCCAAACGGATTCACCAGGCATGTCTCCATTCGGTAATGGCCCCCACAATGAATGGCATTTGCTAGCTGGTATATCAAAGCCGGACACCGGAATGTATCCTTACATATTTACCTAACAACACATCCTACTCCTGAGCCGTTTCTTTCTTTCTGAACATTACTTTTTAAGAACAAAAAACCTTAAATCAAGAGGGACCTACCATAATAAACCATGTGGTCTTGGCCGCATTTCTGATGGGCCTCAAAAAGCTCCCGTTGATATCCGGTTGCATCTCGAGATAGAATAAAAGGCTTTCATTGATGATGTTTGGTATCCAGCTGTCAAGAAGGAAACAGCCCGGGATAAAGGGAACACGTAACGCAACTCATCTTTAGGTGCTGGGGGTCAGGAAACATGTCCTCTGAGACCCCCCAAGTCCTGGGGGGAAGCGACATGGGCACACGGAAGAATCGGCACATCCAGGATTTAATTTCAGACACCTAACTCCTCCTCTTGAGGGTAAAGCAGAGATCAACGAATCCGAGGGGAATACTCAACAACAGGTGTAAGGCTCTAACGCCATATCTAATAACTCAAAATTCAATGTTCCCTTGAAGATGTAACGTTTTGAGGGAGATCCACAGAAATCTTGCTATTTGATGTTTAAAGTGTTTGATGTTACCAACGATTTAAAACCAAGAGCTGGGTGTATTTTGACGGGGAGATCATTTCCAGGTCTCCTAGGAGAATGCCCAAACAAACCTCCTCCTGGCGCATCAATTATTAAGGCCACTAAGGCACGCCCTGCTTTGCCATGTATTGATTCACCCCAGCAAGAGGTTTCCTGATTCCCGTCTGTCTTGCATGGGTGACACACCTATTTTCAAGCTTGCACCTGAAACTGGGCAGAATGCCAATAGCCGGGCCGACTGACGTTTCGAGAAAAATAGCTCTACGGGTCTCGAGGGAACCATGAATCATCCCACCAAAAGATGTGCCCTTGCTCTTGTATCTTTTCAGACACAGGAATCCGGGGGTCAGGAAGGATAGAAACAGGTACGTTTTAAAAGCGCGGTCCAGGGGCGCCTGGGTGGCTTAGTCAGTTAAGCGGCCGACTTTCGCTTAGGTCATGATCTCGTGGTTAGTGGGTTCGAGCCCCGCGTCGGGCTCTGTGCTGACTGCCAGCTCAGAGCCTGGAGCCTGTTTCAGTCTGTGACTCCCTCTCTCTCTGACCCTCCCCTGCTCGCGCTATCTTTCTCTCTCTCTCCTAGAAATAAATAAAAATCTTTAAAAAAAAAAAAAAAAAAAAAGCGCGGTCCAGCGCTTTATTTCAGAGGGAGCCCGGGCAGGGTGCCTGAACACCAGATGCACGCTCGCGGTATCGCAAAACTAAACTCGGGAGTTGTCTGCTCGAGCGCTTTAGGTATAATCTGTGCGGATGTGAGGATCTTTCTAGGACTGCGGGCTGGCCTTCCTGTCTCACGTGTATTTCCTCAAGGGCACCTGGCACAGTTTCAAAGATTTCCTTTCCACAGACTCCCCGCTTTGCAACTTTCGGGTCATGCTTGGAAAAGCAAGTTGTTTGCACAGCCCCTCCTGGTGGCAATTAAAAAACAAAAACGAGGAGAAAGGTTACCAAATGATCAACACCAGCATTATTTTGAAAAATCGAATCTTGATCGCGGTTCCCATCCGCCTCTCGTTCTCGGTGTAAATGCCTTTTCTTCCTTTTAGTAGAGAGGCCACTGTGAACACAGAGGGGAAATGCAGGTCATGGTCATTATTTGCATCTCCCAACTGACAGGGAAGAGTCAATACATATAAGCCCAGAAGCAAAGGTAGGAGAGTGGACGGCAGAGCAAGATGTTGCCCTTCCTCCCCCCAGACTCTAGGCTGGGGTCCTCACAACTCGATGGGACACCGGGTCTTTAAAATGTTTACTTTCAAATAACTGTAGACTTCCGTAAGAGGTGCAAAGACAGCGCAGAGGCTTTCTGCTCACCTGTGCCCAGCTTCTTTCAACAATAACATCGTACACGCCCAGGGTCACATTTGTCACAGAGGAGAAAGTAACAAGGGTGTGTTACTATTAATTAAGTTCCATGGGGCGCCTGGGTGGTTCAGTCGGTTAAGCATCCGACTTTGGCTCAGGTCTCTCTCTCTCCAAAAGAAACATTAAAAATTAAAAGGAACAATAAATAAAATGTGCACGAAAGGTCGATTCAGGATCAGCTGTGGATTGTACAAGGTCAGAACATTTCATGTCCTCTGCCCCAAAAAGTAGGAAGTCTCACAGTTCATGGGTTCAAGCCCCAGGTTGGGCTCTGTGCTGACAGCTCAAAGCCTGGAGCCTGCCTCAGATTCTGTGTCTCCCTCTCTCTCTGCCCCTTCCCTGCTCATGCTTTCTTGCTTTCTCTGTCTCTCTCTCTCTCTCTCAGAGTAAATAAAGCCTTAAAAAAAAATTAAGCTCCAGATTTTATTTGGATTTTACCAATTCAAGGATTATATTTTTAGAGGCACCTCGGTGGCTCAGAAGTTGAGTGTCTAACTTCAGCTCAGGTCATGATCTCATGGTTTGGGAGTTCGAGCCCTGTGTCAGAATCTCCACTGTCGGCACAGACCCTGCTCTGGATTCTGTCTCCCTCCGCACTCAAAAATAAACATTAAAAATAATCTTACGGGGGCGCCTGGGTGGCTTAGTCGGTTAAGCGTCCGACTTTCGCTTAGGTCATGATCTCGCGGTTCGTGGGTTCGAGCCCCGCGTCGGGCTCTGTGCTGACTGCCAGCTCAGAGCCTGGAGCCTGTTTCAGTCTGTGACTCCCTCTCTCTGACCCTCCCCTGCTCACGCCGTCTCTCTCTCTCCTAGAAATAAATAAAAACATTAAAAAATTTAAAAAAAAAAATAATAATCTTACGTTTTTAGGGGTGCCTGGGTGGCCCAGTTGGTTAAGAGTCCAACATTGGCACAGTCCATGATCCCACAGTTCATGAGTTGGAGCCACGTATTGGGCTCTGTCAGCTTCAAATCTTCTATCTCCCTCTCTCTCTGCTCCCCCGCCTCCAGCGCACACAGGCTCCCTCTTTCTCTCAAGCATTAAAAGAACTATTTTTAAAGGTTTATGTTTTCTGTTACACAGTAACACATCCTGTTTTGAAACAGTGAAACATTAAAAAATTTCTCCTTTATACAAGGTGGAATACATTGTGTAAAAAAATGTTTAATGTCTGAGAAAGAGAGAGAGCACACAAGCAGAGGAGGGGTAGAGAGAGACACAGAACGCCAAGCAGGCTCCAGGCTCTGTCAGTACAGAACCCAATGTGGGGCTCGAACTCACACACCACGAGATCATGACCTGAACTGAAGTCAGACGCTGAACCGACTGAGCCCCCAGGTGCCCTGATGACGTGGCAAACACGAAGAAAGCTTAGAGGAAAAGCATCGAGCCGCTGTCTACTCCCACACGAGCTCTGTTAGCATTTTACTGTGCTTCTCAGTCCTTCTCCTATAGGAGTTGTGTTCAATTGACTCAGTACTTTCACACAAACCTGTATAAAAAGTTGCTGTATTTAATACAGTGCTTTTAAGTTCTATTTTTTTTTTTTTCCGTTTAGAGAGAGGAAGCGAGCGCACAAGCGGGGGAGAGGGCCAGAAGAAGAGAGAGGATCTGAAGCAGGCTCTGCACTCAGCAGAGTACTCAATCCCACGACCCTGGGATCACGGGCCTGAGCTAAAAATCAAGAGTTAGACGCTCAACTGACTGAGCCACCCAGATGCCCCAATATACTGTTTTTAAATGCAGCCGTGAAAGTGACCCAAAGAGCCACAGTGACTTCCTGCTTGTAGGGGCAGAGGACTTGAAGTGTTCTGAAGTTGTACAATCCACAGCAGATCCTCAATCGACCTTTCCATTAAGGTGCACTTTTTGTTTCTTTTCATTTTTTTTAACGTTTATTTTTGAGAGAGAGAGACAGAGCATGAGCAGGCAAGGCGCAGAGAGAGGATGAAACACAGACTCTGAAGCAGGCTCCAGGCTCTGAGCTGCCTGCAGTGAGCCCGATGTGGGACTCGAACCCACGAAGTGTGAGATCATGACCGGAGCCAAAGATGGACGCTTAACCCACGAGGCCCCCCAGGTGCACTTCCGAACCCTCATTCTGCACAGAAGAGATCCACGCGGCTGGGGCAGGTGGGAGTTTTGCCCCAGGTCTCGCTTCCTTGAGGATGGGGCGGGGCCCGGAATGCCAAGTCCCCAGCCTTGCCTCAGAGGTCTTTCTAGTGCACTCTGCCCACTCACAACATCCTTCATTGCCAGTTGTTACTATTGCATTTGACTCATTTCCTGTGCTCTACTTCCTGTTTCCTGCCCAACTGAGTGAAGACACAGGCCAAGCACCTCATGGGACTAAGCAGACTCACTCTCCTCCGGCCTTACTCCATCCCTTCCCCCCAGCCCCCCACTCCTCTCTGACCTCCACAGTGTTCCCCAGGCACTCCCGGGCCCTGCAAGGCTCCCCAAGGGCAGACCCACCACGAGCCCAGGCGGAGGTGAAACGGCCCTAGCCCTGAGCTCTTACACGTTGGCAAAGAACGTGTGTAGCCCGTAAGTGAACAGGCTTGCTCACTTTCACTTATTAAATCTGCTCCCTCTCTCCACGCGGACTGTACTTAGGCCTCTGGAGGATGACAAATGAGGTCAGCTGTCCTGGCTGAGTCCAGAAGCACCGCATGTGCCGTTATCCGAGCCCCAGGCCCAGAGCCACACCCCGGTCACACGCCCCGACAGCTTCCCTGTGGCACACCTGCAGTCACGGTCTTCCGGAACAGGATGGGGCTGGCCCCAAGGACGAGCAGCAGCGGCAAGTACGTGGTGACATAGTGGGGGACGGCGTGCTCCAGGTCCCGTTCGCACCTGAGGGGGGAGAGCCAAGGGCATTGGTGAAAACAAGGCTGCGCGTGAAGTGTACACACTTATCTGCAAGCAGAGATAAGAGAATGGGAGAGAAAGGACAGAGCATCCATCTACTTCTGACTCCGCCAGAAGGAAATGTGACTCAGAGCTGATGCCTGCAAGCAGGCAATCAATCACCCAAGAGCAGGACACACCGGTCGTGTTTCTGTGTGTCCCGTACGCGCGAGGCTCTCTAAGTCACTCCCCTGGGGAGAGGTTGTAAAGGTCCCCGCTTGAAAAAGGAAAGACAGGAAAGAACACGCTGGAAGAAGGGAGTGCCCGCCCTGGGGCTCTTCAAGGAGAAGGGGACACAAACGGGAATGCAAACCGCTGCAGCCGCTGCGCCCAGGCTTGCGCGGAGGCGCCCCTGAGGCTGAGCGCCCGGCCTCGCACGGAGGCGTCCCTGACGCTGGGCGCGCGGCCTCGCACGCACGCACACCTGACGCTGGGCGCGCGGCCTCGCACGCACGCACACCTGACGCTGGGCGCTCGCTCTTAAGCAGAAGCGCATCTAACGCTCGGCGCACAGCCTCCTGCAGAGGCGCACCTAATACTGGCTTCTCACCCTTAAGGGAAAGCGCACCTGACGCCGGGCGCGCATACTGGTCCACAGGCTCCTGGACCCGCTTACCTGGACACGGAAGGGTAGTAGAGCATGACCGCTCCCTCCACGCAGAGCAGGACGGCCAGGCCCCAGGCCATGATGTGATACAGCAGGATGGTGCTAGGAAGGGAAGCCGAATCAGAGACGAGTGATGGAGAGGCCCGGCCACACAAAGTACCAGATCATTTCCCGCCCCCACCCCCACCCCCACCCCCCAGGTCAGGAAACCTACACTGAGCACACCCTTGGCAAAGGCTTGCCCTATGATACCACGGAGTTTTTCTTTTTTTTTTTTTTCTTTTTTTAAGGTTTTTTTATTTATTTCTAGAGAGAGAGAGAGCGCGTGAGCAGGGGAGGGTCAGAGAGAGAGGGAGTCACAGATTGAAACAGGCTTCAGGCTCTGAGCTGGCAGTCAGCACAGAGCCCGACGCGGGGCTCGAACCCACGAACCGTGAGATCATGACCTAAGCGAAAGTCGGACGCTTAACCGACTAAGCCACCCAGGTGCCCCGGAGTTTTTATTTTCTAATGGAGATGAACCTCACAGAACCTAAAAGTAAAGCGAGCAACTCAGCGACGACTGGTAGCATCTCGACGCTGTGCACTCGCCCCCCTCTCCGCAGGTCTGGAACAGCTACTGCCCCAGGAGGGGACCCCGACGCCGTCGGCAGGCACTCCCCCTCCTCGGCCCCCAGCCCCAGCACCCACCGGCCCCCTCTAGGTCTCCGTGGCTTTCCCCCCTCTGCACAATTAGTTTCAGCGGCGGCACGCAGTATGTGGCCCTCTGCGCCGGCCTCTGTCCCTTAACAGGAGTCTCTCAAGGGTGAGAGGAACAAGGCTCTAGTACCTCTTCGGTCCTCCGAAGTGCCCCGCTCCCGCAATAAGCAAGGAGCTCCTATCCCCACACCTTCCCGAAGGCGCCTCTGTACCTCAAAGTCACGTGTCATAGTGCTCAGTGCACACCCAGATCTCTGAAGGCCTGTGGGCTCGCGCCATGTTCCGGGAGCGGCCCGTGGGGAGCTGCCCTTTCTCCCCTCCTCCCCCACCAGTCCCTGCATGCCTGACACTCCTGGACCATCAGTACCCTCCGTCCTCCCGCTCCCACACACCCCGCCCTGTGCCCCAAGGACTCAGCCCTGCAGATGGGGTCTGGGAGAGGGACGGGCAGCTACCTGACTGCTGCAGCGGTTAACCTGCCTCTTCGGTGCCACGGGATGGGGGCCCACGGCTCCGTCCAGTGTGCTCGCCGTCACCCGTGACTGTGCGACACTCCCGGCACACAGTGCAACCCCAAACCCCCAGGATCAGCTGTGTAGACAAGGGAACGGTCGGGGATCCGAGTGCAAGGGTGCCCTTCCACAGGGAGACGAGAGGAGAGACGGCGCATGGGAATGAGGTGCAGGAAGGGGCGACTGTTCGCAGCCAGCTCTCCGGAAGGCCACAAGGAAACGCCCCTGGCCTGCTCTGCCTCCCGTGTTAGGTTCCGTTCTGAAGCAGCCCCGCCTATCTCTCTGGGTTTGGGAGCAGGGGGAGGGCGGGGGGGGGGGGGGTCCTGCCCCGAAATCAGAGGCTCTGCATCAAAGAAAGAGGAGAAAGGAGCAGCTTTTGCAAAGGCCTGCGTTGCTGACTAGAGCTGGAGCCCTGCATTCCAGACCCTGACCTTGGGCCAGAGGTAGCCAGGGGTGCTGTCCGCAGAGGTGGGAGGGAGCGGGCCAGGCCCCAGGTGACCAAGCAGGGAGGGAGTCAGATCGGCCCGGTGCTCAGGCAGCAGCCACTTTAATAACGGATGTGACCCCGAACCCAACCAGGTCGCGAGTGTCGAGTCCCATGCGTCCACAACCTGGAGCAGCCGGCGGCTGAGGGTCCTCATCACTTTATCTGACCACCAGTCCGCTTTCATGCCCAGGCACGCAAGGGCCCTCCCCGGGCCCCCTCTCCCTCACACTGCTATTCACAGAGCGAGTGGGGACTTTGGTTTCGGGCTTTGCCCACCGTCTCCAGCCACTTGTGCTGTTGCTGAAAACCCGGACATCCCCCCCACACCTGGAGCCGCAGACGCCGTTTACACGTTAACTCTAATCTGTCTTAATGACATTTCTTAGGATTTGGAAAAAAGAAAAAAGCCTCCTGTGCCAAAGAAAATAGCTGAGGACTGGAAGGATCTAGAAGGGAATATGGACTTTGATGCAGCCCTACCTACAAAGCCTGGCCCCTGCCCTGGGATTCCTCGGGACCCTCCCGGGCAGCTCCCAGCAGGGTCGGCCGCACCCTCGGGTCTGGAAGCAAGCGGGCTCTTGACGGGGCGACGCTTCTGGACCCAGCACCTCAGCTCTGGTCCCCCGGAGCCCTCACACCAGGAGGCACGGCTTGGCCTGTACGAGGTAGGGGCTGGTCCCCGTGCCTCCAGGATACCCGTCTTACTGCTCTGCCGCGGTCCCTAGACCCAAAGTAAAAAGAAGAAACAAGCTCAAAAATAAACACTAAGCTTCAGGCCAGAGAGACCAAAGTTACTGAGGATGATACCTAAGGGAAAGCAACGATTTTACAGCAAGGATCTACTTAGGGTGCCGAGGGTATTCCACAGCCTGAATGTGATTTTTGTTTACTCATGTTGGCTTTCAAAGTGAATTTATTGGGGCACCTGGGTGGCTCAGTCGGTTGGGCGTCCGACTTGGGCTCAGGTCATGATCTCACAGTTCACGGGTTTGAGCCCCGCGTCGGTCTCTGTGCTGACAGCTCAGAGCCTGGAGCCTGCCTCAGATTCTGTGTCTCCCTCTCTCTCTGACCCTCTCCTGCTCACGCTCTCTCTCTATCTCTCTCTCAAAAATAAATAGAAACATTAAAAAAATTTTTAAGTGAATTTATTCGGGGGCACCTTAGGGTTGTGAGTTTAAGGCCCATGCTGAGTGCAGAAAATACTTAAATCTTGAAAATGGGATCATAGACCTGGGCGCCTAAGGGGCTCAGTCAGTTAAGTGTCTGACTCCTAATTTCGGCTCAGGTCATGATCTTACAATTTGCGAGTTGGAGCCCCATGTCTGTGCTATCAGCACAGAGCCTGCTTTCAATTCTCGGCCCCGCCCACCCCCTCTCCAAATAAAAATAAACTTTAAAAAAATAAAATGAAATGGATCATAGACCTAAATTGAAGTGTTCAAACCACAAAACTCTTTTTTGGTTCTCAATTTTCATGCAGGAAGTCACACAAAAGATTCCAGACCAAGGAGTTTTAATCCTCCTCCTCCTGGTCAATCTAAAAGTAACACAACGTGTAACTGTTTTGCTCTTAACGACTAGGTGCAACCAATCATGTAGATTACACTTCAAATATTTTGGGGAGACAGGTTTCAAATACCTTTCGGGAAACCGCACCTCAGAGATTACCATAATCTTGGGGCGCCTGGGTGGCTCAGTCAATTAAGCGCCCAAGTTCAGCTCAGGTCATCTGATGGTTCGTGGGTTTGAGCCCCACATTGGGCTCTGTGCTGACAGCTCAGAGCATGGAGCCTGCTTCAGATTCTGTGTTTCCTCTCTCTCTCTGCCTCTCTCGGCTCATGCTATCTCTTTCTCTCTCGCTCGCTCTCAAAAATAAACAATTTAAGGGGCGCCTGGATGGCTTAGTCGGTTGAGCGTCCGACTTTCGCTTAGGTCATGATCTCGCGGTTCGTGGGTTCGAGCCCCGCATCGGGCTCTGTGCTGACTGCCAGCTCAGAGCCTGGAGCCTGTTGCAGTCTGTGACTCCCTCTCTCTCTGACCCTCCCCTGCTCACGCTGTCTCTCTCTCCTAGAAATAAATAAAAATATTTTAAAAAATAAATAAGTAAAATAAACAATTTAAAAATATTTTTTAAAGATGCCATCAAGTGAAAGACAACCCAATGAACAGAAGAGATCTGTAAATCCTGTATCTAATAAGGTACTTCTATCTAGAATCTATATGAAGAACTCTTACAACTCAGTAATAAAAAAGACCAAGTAAACAGGTGAAGAGACTGAACAGACATTCCTCCGAAGAAAGCACACAAATGGGAAAGAAGCACAGGACAAGGTGCTCGCCATCCCCAGCCACCAGGGAAATCAAACCTACGACGAGATGCCACTGGACACACACTAACGTGGCTACAGTTTTACAAACCAAACTAGTACACGGAAAGAAGGAGTGTCAGCGAGGACGTGAGAAACCGGAACATCATACGTTCCTGCCTAACAACATCAAATGGTGCAGCCACGTTGGAAAGCACTTTAGCAGTTTCTTAGCAAGGTCAGACGGAGAATTACGACGTGAGCCGGGGTATAAAGCCCCCGAGTACGTGATGAAATCGCACGTCCACACAAACATTTGCACACCAGTGTCCACTGGAGCATTATTCCTGAGACCCAAAAGGATAGAAACAACCCACAGGTCCATCCACCGGATAAATGGACACAATGTAGCACATCCACCAGTGAAATACTATGCAGCCAGGAACAGGAATAAAGTGCTAACACGCTGCAACCCGGTAAGGCTTCAAAGCGTCACGCTAAGTTTAAGAAGCCAGACACAAGGGGCGCCTTGAGTGGCTCAATCAGTTGGGCATCCGACTTCAGCTCAGGTCATGATCTTGTGGTTTGAGTTCCACGTCAGGCTCTGGACTGAAAACGTGGAGTCTGCTCCAGCTTCTCGGTCTCCCTCTCGCTCTCAAAAGTAAACCTTAAGAAACAAAAATGTTTAAAGAAAAGCAGCAGCAGCAGCCGGACACAAAAGGTCACACATGGCAGGTCTGTGCTCACAAGCAATACCCAGAAGAGGCAAACCTAGAGGCAAGGGCACCAGGAGGGGGAAGGATTAATCGCTGGTAAAGAGATTTGGGCGAGGTGACGATTAAAAGGTCCTAAAACTAGTGGGCGCGCCGGTTGCGTGATTCTGTGACTATACTAAAACACAATGGATTTTTGGATTGTATACACTTAAATGGGTGAACTTTATAAAACTGTTAAAATAAAGAAAAAAGAAAAAAGAGCAGGGGCACCTGGCTGGCTCGGTCAGAAGAGCATGTGATGCGATCTCAGGGTTGTGAGTTTGAGCCTCACCTTGGGTGCAGGGGTTACTTAAATCAACTTCAAAAAAAAAAAAAGCAAACAATGGCTCCATCCCAAAGGAGGGCGCATGCTTCCTGAACAAGGGGTCAGGAGACCTGGGCACTTGGCCTGTGCTGCCAGCCAGCCTCCCTCTGTCAGGTGCCCACGCCCGCTGCCCCCACGGTGCTCAGTGCCCGAGAGCCTGCTACGTGCCAGGCGCGGCTCTTAACCATTTACGCAGAGCACCGCAAGGGCCCTCCTGGGTCCAGACGAGGCAGCTACCATCTCGCAGCCGGACAGCCGAAGCGTAGGCACGTTAAGGAACTCGCCAATGGCCACACGCCGAGCGACCCTGTACACGTGGCGCACACTGTGGACTCTCACCAGGAGCCACCCGCAGCTCCAGCGTTCGGCTTCCGTGTTTGGCACAAAGTTCGACACACACTTCAAAGAATCTTTTCCCCGAGTCTCTAGAAACGGTCAAACATTGTACTCATGCCAATTCTTTCTTGAGTATGTGTGCAGTTGCAAGTACTTAAGTTATGGGTTACTTGTTCTCACGGTTCAAAAGTCCTCATTTTGAATCCGGCGTCGGCCTTTCATACAAATAGTGGCCGGAGGGCCGCCTGGGGGGCTCAGTGGTTCAGCAACTGACTCCTGACTCCCGCTCAGGTCGTGATCTCATGGTTCAGGAGATGGAGCCCGCGTGGGGCTCTGTGCGGACAGCTCGGAGCCTGCTTGGGACGCGCTCTCTCTCTCAGTGTCTCTGCCCCTCCCCTGCTCGCGCTTGCTCACTCTCTCTAAATAAACTTAAAGAAGAAATCGCGGCCAGAAGCGTTTCTCAGAGCGGGGCCGCTGACACTCTGACCGTGTCCACCCCTACTGTGCAGCCCGCAGTGGTCCCCCACACCCCTCTCGCCCCTCTGCTCACCTCTGCCCTGCTGATCTCCGGACCACCAGATAGGCGTCAAGGGCGTAGCAAAACAGCCACCAGAAGCAGGCACTGTACAGCAGCTGGACCCACATCTGTAAGCAGGAAGGGCCTGGCGTCACAGCGTCCCCCGCCGTGGAGGGAGCGGGCAGACGCCTTTCCTCTGAAGGGGGGGGGGCAGCACGTGGAAGACCTCCACAGACACGTGGACAGGCCGGGAAGGAGAGGCTGGGTGCGGCCCGGGATGGCGGGAGCCCCGCGCTCTGTCGGGCCACCTGCCGGCACACGTGCGGGCTCGGAACTCAGGGCCTCGGATGTGCGGCCTGCCCCGCACGAAGGCTCACGGAGCCTCTGAACGAGAACGGAGGGTTGTGGGCGGGAGAGGTCTCCCCGGCTGAGTGGAAGGACGGGGCGGCTCCTAGGGGCAGCGGGACACGGGCGAGCCTCTGCTGTGGGCGGAGACGGCACTCCACTGGGTGCGGCGGCGAAGCAGGGACGGGCCTGGGGGGGGGGGAGCAGCGACAGGCACGGGGGGGGCAGCGACGGGCATGGGGGCGGGGGGGCGGCCGGGAGGCAGGCACGGGCACCGGGGGTGGGCGATTATTCCCCAGCTTGGTGCACAGAGCCCCAGAGACACATGGACCTAAATCCTATACTCTGGGGCACCTGCGTGGTTCAGTCGGTTAAGTGGCTGACTCTGGGTGCAGGTTCAGGTCACCATCTCATGGTTCCTGAGTTCAAGCCCCGTCTCAGGCTGACAGTGAGGAGCCTGCCTGGGATTCAGTCTCCCTCTCTCTCTACTCCTTCCCGCTCTCTCAATAAATAAACTTAAAAAGTAAATACATAAATGTAGATTTCATGAAGTACAATACATATCCAACAAGTCAACAACTTTCATCGTTCTTTCTTTTACCCATCTGGCCAGCTGGTTTCAAGTGCGGCTCAGTTAGGTAAGGACTGTGTGTGTGCTCCGAAGTGGGGGGCAGGGAGAGGCCAGAGGAGCGCAGGGGCCCTCAGACTGAAGCGTGACTCAGAAGCCCTGGCGGGGTGTGTCATGTCATAGACCCCATGCCAAGGTTCTGGGAACTTGCATTTCTTTTTATATTTTCTTCATGTTTGTTTATTTTTTGAGAGAGAGCAAGAGAGACAAAGTGCAAGCAGGGGAGGGGCAGAGAGAGGGAGACACAGAATTTGAAACAGGCTCCGGGCTCTGAGCTGTCAGCACAGAGCCGACGCGGAGCTCTAAGCCACAAACCGCGAGATCACGACCTGAGCTGAAGGCGGATGCTTAACCGACTGAGCCACCCAGGCGCCGCAGAGAACCTGCATTTCTAGCAAACTCCAGGGCTGACACGACGCTTGGAGGACCAGGGCGTGGGAGCAGCAGAGGGCGGAGGACACGGGCACGCAAGCAGGCGTACTCACTGCAGTGCCCACACAGTACGCGGCGGGCCAAAGGTCCGTCCCCTTCACGTCGGAGAGGCCCTCGACGAAGCCTGGGAACCCCAGCCACACGGCAGACCGGAAGACGATCCCTGAGACAGAGTGAGAGGACACGGTCATCCCGTGGGCGATGCATTCCGGGCCCCCCAGCTGATGCCGAACCTGCAGACTGTCCCCACTCCTACACGTGCGACGCTCTTTCCTTTACGTTCACTCCGACGGTAAAGCTGGCTTTATGAACCGGGCACAGTAAGAGGTTCACGGCTGATAAGAACACAGGACACTGCGACAGTACGCGGTCACGGAAGTCCTGTGAATGTGCTCTGTAAGCATCTCCCTGTCCTCGCTCTTCCCGTGGGGACGGGAGATGCGGTGACGTGAAGGACACAGGCACCGGGACGTGGCGCGAGGCTGCACGGACCTTCTCACGCGGCGCCAGGAGATGCGCCTGCGTCAGACCACAGGCCGCGGGGAAGCAGAACCGCGGAAAGCCCCGCTGTGGCTAAGGGTGACCACGGTCCTTTGGGACGGTCCTGATTCAGCTCAAACGCCGACTTGTTGCTCTGGAAGAACGAGGAGATGATGGATGGAAGAGTAGGAAGGGAGAGAGGAAGAAAGGAGGGAGGAAAGAAACACACACATTGGCGTGTGTGGACAGACAGAGAAGTAAGATCTAGGAGGTAAGTATTTCGGGCACAAAGCAATCCCAGGAACTGTGATTTCTACCTGAACTGCCATCAGCCTCAGTCATATGCCTAACGCAGTTGTTTGCTTACTTGGTATGAAGAAGCAAGTGGGTCAACGACCACCTGTATTTCTTGGCTACATTTTTAATATACATATTAACCATTCCTGACATTAAAAAAGTGACTGAAATAGCACAATTCTGAAATGTAAAAAGGTAACTCTTTCATTCTTAAAAAAATGCATTTAGGGCCAGTGGCTCAGTGAAGCATCTGACCCCAGCTCAGGTCATGATCTTGAGGTTTGGGAGTTTGAGCCCCGCGCCAGGCCTGCTTCAGATTCTCTGCCCCTCCTCCACCAGCACTTCTCTCTCAAAAATATTTTTTTAAATATTTTTATTTACTTCTAGGAGAGAGAGAGACAGCGTGAGCAGGGGAGGGTCAGAGAGAGAGGGAGATACAGACTCTGAAACAGGCTCCAGGCTCCGAGCTGGCAGTTAGCACAGAGCCCGACCCGGGGCTCGAAACCACGAACCGTGAGATCATGACCTAAGCGAAAGTCGGACGCTTAGCCGACTAAGCCACCCAGGCGCCCCTCTCAAAAATATTTTTAAAAATAAATGGGGGCACCTGGGTGGTACAGTTGGTTGAGCATCTGACTCTCGATACTGGCCCTGTCATATCTCATGGTGTGTAGGTTTGAGCCCTGCCTCGGGCTCTGTGCTGATGGTGCAGAGCCTGCTTGGGATTCTGTCTCTACCTCTCTCTCTGCCTCTATCAAAATAAACAAACACTTAAATGATTAAATAGCTAAAAAAAAATAATGCAATTAAGCTTCTCACAAATTAGCTCTCAATTTCCTTTGACGTTTATTATCTGTAAGTTTTCCTTGCTATTAGACCCAAATACCTAATTCTCCTCAAAATAGTATATAAACTTTAAGTTATATATTAAGGTTTTCTGTGATATGCTTCATCTAATAACATCCTACGTAGGGGCGCCTGGGTGGCTTAGTTGGTTAAGGGTCCAACTCTTGCTTTCTGCTCAGGTCATGATCTCACAGTTCAGGAGTCTGTTCCCTGCATCAGGCCCCGCACTGGCAGTGCAGACCCTGATTGGGATTCTCTCCCCACACCCTCACCGTCTGCCCCTCCCCTGCTCGGTCTCTCACTCTCAAAATAAATAGACTTAAAAAGTAATAATATACTATGGAATAAAACACTAAACGATAATTGTTAACAGTACAAAGTTATATGCTACGTGCTCACGTATATTATATCATGTAACAGATGACTAAATATACAACACCTAACACATACTAAATATACTCTGTGTAATATGCTACCAAACTGACACCACATACTATACTACCAAATACATGCTGCATGATACATCACCAAATACACTCTGCATGATACACTCTATATAGAGAGTAAATATACACCATAGTAAATATAGAGTAAATATACACTACCAATCATACATCATATACTACAATACAAAGTTTGTATCACATAACACACCACTACACATACACTATGTAACACACCACTCAAGAGGAACTATGGACACTGAGATGCTTAAGATATACCTTCTCACTGTCAAGCACTGCTCATTCTTCCAGAGAATGGTTTATCATCTTCGGCGTATGGCGTTCCTCTGAGCTCAATAAATGCCCAATGTATTTCTGTAGCGATATGAGCTCATGAATGTCGACTTATTGTGATAACACTTCATAATGTGTATGTCAAGTCATTACGCTATCTTCAGCTCTTAGAGTGCTGTCGGTCAATTAGATCTCACCAAAACGGAAAAAATAAGTTCTGTCCTATGAGGTAGGCATCACAAGGATTTTATTTTTCAGTGAGAGGTCAGTCACCAAGCCTTCCCCTGAACTTTGCTTCTGCTCTTTTGTCATCATGCAACTCCCTTCCAGAAATAAGCATAGATACAAATAGTATTTCACTGGTCCTCAAAAGAGATCTGGGTGCATCTTTATTTCCAGATATCCAAGTTACAGAGACTAAATTGCTATTAAGATGCTTTTCCAGAGGCACCGGCTGGCTCAGTGAGAAGAACGTACGACTCTTGATCTCAGGGTCCATACAGGGTATAGACATTAAACATTTTTTTATGTCTATTATTTATTTATTTAGAGGGAATGTGAGTGCGCACTCACACATGGTTGTGAGAGGCAGGGGGAAGGAGAGAGAGAATCCCAAGCAGGATTCACGCTGTCGGCACAGAGCCCAATGGGGGGCTCGGCTCGAACTCACAAACTGTGAGATCACGACCTGGGCCCAGATCACAAGTCGGGCGTTTAACCAACTGAGTCATCATGCACGTGCCCCAATAAATGAGCTTCAAAAAAAAATCTTTTCCAAAATGTTCTCGTGTAATCGGGAAGAAAACCGATTTGATTTATTTAGGCTGCACCAAGCTGGTTCTGTCTCTCAGAGAAAGGAAGTACTGCTCCCGGTCTGCCTCCTGGAGTCTCACAGTGAGCAAAGGGCTTCCAGCATTTACTCGAAGTCAAGGTCCTGCAGGGTCTCCAACCACAAGGGCACAGACGGGGAGAACAGCACCCTGGGACAGACAGCCACCTGTGCGGAGATCCTCTCAACGGGGGTGGGGGTGGTTAAAAGCTGCTGCCACCCCCTCAGGGCATTCCAATACCATCAACAGCTTTTGCTTCCCAGGAAAATTATGCAAAAATACATTTCCAAAATGGTCGGCAGCTGTCAGCCAACTGCCAAATGTGGGCAGCATGTGGATCCCGATTCCAACGAACCAGCTGTAAAACAGCATTTATGAAACTACTGAACAGACACCAGGGACGTTAAAGAAACTGATTTTCATTTTTATTTTCAGGTGGTAATAATATCGGTGCTATGTGCAGATTTCATTTTTTTCAATGCACTTGAATTCAAGTTAGTTAACACACACCGTAGTACTGGCTTCAGGACTAGAACCCAGCAATTTATCTCTTAGTAGAGGCCAGTGCTCATCCCCACAAGGGTCCTCCTTCATGCCGGGCACCCATTTAGCCCATCCCCCCACCTCCCCTCCAGCAACCCTCAGTTTTCCGTGTTTAAGTCTCTTACACTTTGCCTCCCTGTTTTTACGTTCTTTTTGCTCCCTGTCCCTAGGTTCCTCTGTTGTGTTTTTTTTTAATGTTTTTATTTATTTCTAGGAGAGAGAGAGAGAGACCGCGTGAGTAGGGGAGGGTCAGAGAGAGAGAGAGTCACAGACTGAAACAGGCTCCAGGCTCCGAGCTGGCAGCCAGCACAGAGCCGGAGGCGGGGCTCGAACCCATGAACCGCGAGATCATGACCTAAGCAAAAGTCAGAGCTCAATCCACTAAGCCACCCAGGCGCCCCTGCTGTGTGTTTTAAATTCCACCTTTGGGTTAAATCGTCTATTTGTCTTTCTCTGCCTGACTTATTTCGCTTAGAATCATACACTCTGGTTCTGCCCACGTTGTTGTAAATTAATCCAGTGGCGGTGATACCAAGCCTGGGTGTAGATGAAGGGAGATCATAGGTCGGGGGGGGGGGGGGGGTCCTTTATACAGTCTGTGTGATTTAGGTTTGTAATTTTCCAAAATAAAAATGTCAACAAATGTATTTGGAAACTATTTTGGGGGGCCACCTGAGTGGCTCAGTCAGTTAAGCGTCTGACTTCAGCTCAGGTCATGATCTCAGTGTTTGTGGGTTCGAGCCCCATGTCGGGCTCTGTGCTGACAGCTCAGAGCCTAGAGCCTGTCAGTGGATTCTGTGTCTCCTCTGTGTGAAAAAAAATAAATACATTAAAAAATATATGTATATTTTGGGCTTTAGGGGCCATACTTTTTCTGCCAACACCCACCTCTGCCCTTGCAGGGCAAAGATAGCCCTAGACAACGCACAAGGGCGGGTCCGGCTGTGTTCCCACCAAACTGTACTGAAGGACACAGACATTAAATTTCATGCAATATTTACATAAAATATCTTCGGAAATAGTTTTCGTTGTTCAAAAACCTTTGGGCCACAGAAAAGAGGCAACAAGCCAGGATTCAGTGTGGGGTCGGCAGTTGTGCCACCTGCGGTAGAAAACCCAAACCTGGGGAAACACACACACACACACACACACACGCACATACATAGCAGAGGTATATATATCAAGGTTTCTTCCGGATTCTGCTAACTCGTTCTGGAAACGGTTTTGGGTGTAGGCACAAAATATTGTTAGTCTCTCACTGGCACAAGTATTATGGATCCGTTGTATTTTCTGGGTTTTTGCTTCACAGCAACGGACTGAACTTTCCCCAGTAAGCTTGCAGTAACATACATTATAACCTGTTTTCTCTTTGAACAGACGTCCCCTACGCATAATTTTTACTGTGGTCCTTGTTTTGCGGAGTCCCTCGGTCGTCCCGTCCCGTCGTCCCTAGGGAGCCGCCTCTGTGCTCCGAGTACACACCCTGCCCAACCTCGAGGCCCGCGCTCCCTCACCCGGGCACACAGCAGTTCCGCGCGCCCGACCCCGGCACCGAGCGGGTCCCAACCGCGGGCCGCGCTCCCCGCACCGGACACCGCCCACCCGCGGGCGGCACGCCTTAACCCAAGCAGCCGAGCAGGTCCAACGCGCGGGCCGTCCTCCCCCACCCGGGCACGGAGCAGCACCCAGACGGCGGGCCGCGCTCCCAGACGCGAGCGTCGCCGCAGGTCCGGGCCCGCGGGCCGCCCGTCTTACCCAGGCAGCCGAGCAGGTCGCAGGCGGCGGCGGCGCGCAGGATGCGGACGGAGGCCGGGGCGCGCGCCGAGACCGGCGGGGCCGGGGCCGTGGCTCCGGGGCCCGCGGGCCGCCGCCCGGGCAGCACTTGCAGGAGGCCCAGGGCCAGGCGGCACGCGCCGGCGCCCAGACACAGCGCGTGGAAGGCCCGCGGCTGGAAGCCCAGCACCAGCTGCGTGGCGGCGTCCCGCGTGGGGCAGCAGAAGATCCCCAGGCGTGGGGACGCCATGGGCCGTGCTCGGGGACGCGGCCCGGGTGTGCCGGGGCCCCGCCGGCCCGCCTGGGTCAGGTGCCGGGCGGGGGGGCGGGGGAGTCACGTGCCCGGGCCTTGCCCCCCGCCCCCGCGCCCCCCGCGGGCCGAGCAGGCGCCGACCGGGGCGGGGGCGGTGCGCCTTCCGCGGCCGCCACGAGGTCTCACGAGGGTGAGGCGGGTCCGAGCCCAGCAGGAGGCGGGGGAACGAGTCGCGCCGGAGGCCCCGAGGGAGGTCGGCTCTCTTCCCTTCCACCCAGCCTTCCCCCCAAGCTGCCTGCTCCTCTAACGACTCCCCGGAGAAACCTGCCTCGTTTGCCAGCTCTTCCCTATTTGGAAACTGACACCCCTAATTTTGATGCGTTACAGGCACCGGAGCGCGTTCATCCACGTGCCCCATGCGGTTGGTGTTAACGGAGCGCCCTGTTCTGCTCCCGGGACGCAATCCCAGAGGCAGGGGAGTTTCCTTGCAAATCACATCTTAAAGGCCTAAGCGTTTAGCCTAATGAGACACGTTTGCACACACGTATTTTGCACCTTACTGTTCCGGGTTTCGTGTTTGCTCAGCTTCAGTACGGGTTTGGGCATTCTAAATCGGCCTTCAAGAGTAATTCTGGTTTTTCTTTCATTATCCAAGCTTCCTGAGATTTCAGAACTTTTTTTCGTTAGGCATAGAAAACCAAGCTTTATCCTATGCACATATAAATTCCAGAATTGTATCCCCACTAATGATAACCATAAGCCTACTGGGTAAAGTTGAGAAACAAGGAAACTGCAGAAGGCTGAAAATGAAAGAGCTGCCGTGCAGGCTGTGGCCTTACTGACCAAAGCTTTATTTAAAACAAACGGAAAAAACCGTATCAGCTGTACCATCTAATACATTCACAGGCCAACCAGCAAACCCATGGCGGCCACCCTTTGACCTCTCCCCTCCTAAATAGGCCCCCTCTGGGTTATTCCAATCAGGGAAAGGGACGGCATCCCCGTTCCTCCCTCCCCCACTTATTACACACTTAAATGCAAACACATGCCCTCCCGCCCAGCTGCTCATCTCCCTTGCCACCAGGAGCTTTGCTATGTTAACGTGAGGCTAAGTCTGGGCTCACCTCGGAGGCCTTCCTTCTGGAAGGAGACCGCAGGACTGGGCTCCCTGTTGGCATCCATCGTAGGCAGCCGGGAAGCTGCGTTGCCAGATGTGAAGCAGAGCCTTTAACAAAGGGCTGCAAACACCAGCACTTCAAAAGGGTCTGACCTGGCACCTCTCTTAGGGGCAGCTGCTTTGAGAGAATTCCGGAACCCACCGACATTGCCAAAACCGCCACCGCTGTCGGGTATTGCACGCTTGCTTGTACAAACCGCAGAAAAGCTCAGAGAAGTACTCTCCCAACAGTGACCTGTCAGCCCCTCAGAGAGCACGAGGCCTGCCGTCTGTTTTGGACCATTGATCTCCTCCTTCCTTTGCTCTTGGATAGCGGAGGCCGCCGCTGGAGTGTGCGGGGAGTGTGCTTTCAAAGAGATAAATGACATCTGGATGCGTGGCGGGTCCGTGCAAAAGTGCCATTGCGTTTCAAGCTCTGCCTTGTGCCCTAACCACACGTACCCCGTCTCTCTGCTTCTACGTGCAAAGCTGAGGGCTGTGGGGACTCCGGCCCCGAGGAGTCCCGGGTGAGGCTCCCAGGCGGTCACTGGCAGAGGTACCTCGGGGAGGAAATTATTCCGAATGAAGATTCCCGGGCCAGATGGGGGCCTCAGAGCAAACCCGCAGAAGGACAGATGGGAGACGACGTTTTTTAACTGTCACAAAGAACCTGACATTAGGGTAAGGAACACAACTGACGTAAACTGTGTGCAAGATGCGACTCCAGTATGAAAACGCAGACGGGTGAAGCACACGGGAGGCGGGAAGGATGAGGTTTTTAGGGGTGACAGTGGGGTTCGCGGGGGTCCCAGGCCGACGGCCAGGAAAGAATTCCTGAAGACCCCTTGGGTGCAAAAGAGTGATTTTGGTAAAGCACGGGGACAGGACGAGCTGCCCCGGGACCATGAGACCCTGGTTAGATGCAATGGGGCTGAGGGAGGTGAAGTCCAGGGGAAGTTTCCAGTGAGATTTCTGTATGCGAAAGAAGACTCAGGCCATCTGAGGGGCAAAGCTCTGGTCAAGCTAGGACTGCTCTTCCCTCTAGCAAAGCATTAGCGGGAAGACGGGAGGGGGCTGTGCAGAAATGTTTTACTCTGCCAGCCTCAATAAGGCAATTTCGTTCTATCTGCCGTTTCTTCCTGCCTTTGTTTCCCACCTGACTGGAGGGCGATGGAGACTGAGGTCCAACAGAACTGTGATGTCTATCCCTTAACCATCTGTTTCCCCCCTTTCTTTTGTTCTTGGGCAGCCGGGAGTGCCCGAGGGACACCACATAGATCCCACCTGGGGAGGGGGCGGCAGTGTTTGTGGCCGGCAGCTTGCCTGATGCTTCCAGAAACATCTGGAAGTACGGTAGATGCGGGAACTGCACAGACGATACTGCCAAGCCACAGTCCGCCGAGCCCGGACACGGAGAACTCCGTGCGGTAACAATCAGGACCCTTCCATGTAGGAAGGACGTTTCTGTAACCCTCTCCCTCCGTTTCGCCCTCCGTCCCAGCTTCCGGTCGGAGTCCCCCTTGCCTGTGGAGTCGGGGCTGCCCACGCAAGGGGGTCTTGGCTTTCCCTCGCTCCGCGCCTCACGACTCGCCTGCCGCCCCCCCGGGTCAGCTACACAAGCTCTGGAAGCGGCTCAGGGCGTTTCTCTTACAGGCAGCTGTCTTCTCACGGTGAGTCCCCGGACACGCACAGGTCCTAACGGGAACGACCGAGTTCACAGGGAGGACCTCAAGGGTGCCACGGAGTCCGGGGCGGGGGGGTGGGGGTGGCGGATGCAGGGTCTGTGCTGGTAGCAGCCGCGTTGCTGCGGAGAGTGGGTCACAAACACCTGCTGTTTTCGGAGCGCGTCAGCAGGCAGGGGCGACGCCCTGTGTCCCTCGCTCCCCGCCCCCGTGACCCCCAGCGCGGGCCTCAACCTGACGAGGATGGTATGCACGGTGCCGGGCGTGGCTCTGTTCCCAGAAAACTTTATTTACCAAACTGCTGCCAACCTAGACATCTTGGCTACGGCAGGTCTACCCCCAGAGGCTCTGGCTTACGCAGCAGTGCCCCCAGAAGGCTGGGTGGCTGAGCCCCAAATACAGGCAGGCTGACACCGGGTGGGGCAGGCAGATAGGCCGGTGAGGATGGGAAGGCGAGAAGCTGGTGGCAGAGCAACCGCTCTTCCTTCCTTCATCCCATGGAAGTTTCTGAGGAGAGGAGGTAGCGGGTCTTGAGCAACCCGTGGTGTTGCTTACGGATCTGTGGTCTGCTCATGAATATACCGCCTTGAATTCGCTCTTCCTCCTTCCGGGTCTTAGTTCCCTTTTGGCCAGGAATTCCGTGGTGTTTGTCCGTGAGGCCTCCGCACACAACTTGCCCTCAGCTCTGCTTTCTAAGGACCCCAGGCTCGGAATCTGCCGTCCTGGTCCGGGAGTTCAGTTGCTGGAGCCACTGCCCTGCCTGGGGTCCATCTCATGACCGGGAGCACCCTGGCCTCTCAGTTCATTGTCGTTCAGCAGAAAGGTGTTGAGTACCGTGTGCAAACTGAGCGGATAAAGAGACAGGGTGTGTCCAGTAAATATGGATGTGTTATTAGGCCTGAATAAAAAATACCTGGGGCGCCTGGGTGGCTTAGTCGGTTAAGCTTCCGACTTTCGCTTAGGTCATGGTCTCGCGGTTCGTGGGTTCGAGCCCCGCGTCGGGCTCTGTGCTGACTGCCAGCTCGGAGCCTGGAGCCTGTTTCAGAGTCTGTCACTCCCTCTCTCTCCGACCCTCCCCTGCCCACGCTGTCTCTCTCTCTCTCTCTCTCTCCTAGAAATAAATAAAACATTAAAAAAAATTTTTTTAAATAAATAAAAAAAATACTTAAACGACAGAGGCAATGTCTGAGCCAGATTAACTAATTAGTCATAGATATACGGTGGAAGACGGTGGAAAGAGGGACTGAGTAGAGTTTAAAATGAACTTGGCACTTGGCGCACCTGGGTGGCTCAGTCGGATGGGCGTCCGACTTTGGCTTAGGGCATGATCTTGCACTTGGGGAGTTTGAGCTCCATGTCGGGCTCTGTGCTGACTGCTCGGAGCCTACAGCCTGCTTCGAATTCTGTTTCTCTCTCTCTCTCTGCCCTTCCTGTGCTCACGCTCTCTCTTTCTATTAAAAAAAATTAAAAAATTGTTTTAATTAAATTAAATTGAGCTTAAAAGACATTTAAATATCAGACCTGAGAATAAAATTCATCAGGTTTCATGTGCATTCCGCTGTAGGTTTCACTGAAAAGCAGATTCTAATTCTGCTTATTGAGACGTCTGGGTGAGGCCCTGCATTTCATGAGCTTCTGCATTTGTAACAAGCTTCCGGAGTGTGGACGCCGCTGGTCAGTGGATCCTACTTCGAGCAGCAAGGTCTGAGGGCCTGTATCTCAACCCACGAAGGAAAGGGAAGAACCCGGCAATACTTACATGTGGGGAGGGCTTAGTTTGACAGAGCAGAAAAATTGATCAAAGCCAAAGCCCTTTCCGAACGCCAGTGACGAGCCCCAGATGAAAGCATGGGGTCAGCAGTGACGAGCAACATCCCTCAACATCCCTCCTGACGGCTCCGAAAGCCCCGGGGCCGGAAGATGTTTGGGGCTAACCTGGGGCGGAAGTCATGATGCCGGCAGGACAGGGACGCAAACGGGAGAGGAAGTCTGACCTGGGACACAGCAAACAAAACTGATTTGTGGTGACGAAGGGAGAATGAGCTGACCGTGTTCTCAGGTAGAAACTGAAAGACCGTTCACCCCGGTCTAGAAAAAAGAGCGGCCAGGGCTATGACCAAGTCCCGACAGAAGCTCTTTTTGCATAGGTGAGAGGTTCAGTGCTCTCTTAACAGCGGTTCAGGACCTATCTAATCCCGAACGACCCACCTCCTTACACACCATTTAAAATGCTTTCTCCCTGAAAGCAGGCGAGCCAGCTGTTAAATACAAAAAGCTCAAATGGAAGGCAAAACAGGATTTGCTTCCCAGAGATTTGATTTTCAGTTCACAGCTAAATTTGCTGGAACACACCCATTCCATAGAGAAAAGCCATGGTTAACAGTCCGATGCAGTAAATGTACCAAAAGTAATAGTATAGAAAGTTGCAACTGACATTAATGATGGAATGAACACCAAGGAAAAAGAAAACAGAGCTGCATTTCAGAGACGATTATGACGTGAGTAGCTAAGGCTATTACGTTAAAATAAATGTTTGCTAACTAAGAGAACCGAGCCACAAATAAATGGGCAGGCATGAACTATTAAGAATAGTTGAGTGGTCAGTGAAGTCAAGGGCGGTGTTTCACATCTAAAACCACATTTTGGTGCTTTTTCGGGATGTGCAGGAAGCAGAAGTAATTCTACAATCCTCTGTGGGAAGAAACAATTATTCTTACATTTACGTGTCCGAAGACCTCCCTCTATCATTCTTTACCATGAGGACTGTCGGCTTTTCAGTTCACCTTCTTCTGCCTTTGGACCTTTCAGCTCAAAAAGAAAAGAAGTTTTGTTTTTAATGAATACTTCTCATGTCCAAAAAGGAACGTAATGATTTTCAGGCCCAGGGCTCAGCTATGAATTCGAGGTCAAATAACACACACTCACGGACAATTAAAGGCAAATTCTTTTACATAAACATGGCTGTCTTTGGAGTGGCTTTCATGCGCACGCACACACACCTTAAATGCACACACAAAATTATCTCTTAAAAAAATTGTAGAAGCGTTACACACACTTGACTGGCCACCAAATTGGACTTCAAAACAGTTTGATATGTGCTTTTAAAATCACGAATGGTGGAAATGATTCATTCAGTCAAAAATTAGGAAATCCAGGGGCACCTCGGTGGCTCAGTCAGTAAAGCGTCCGACTCCTCAGCTCTGCTCAAGTCGTGATCTTGTGGTTCACAAGTTTGAGCCCCACGTGGGATTCTCTCTCTCCCTCTCTGACCCTGACCTGCTCATGCACACATGCTCTCTCTTACTCTCCCTCAAACAAATAAACACCTTAAAAAAGGTAAATCCATTCCAATTTGAAATTATGTCCTGAATGGATACATGTTCTCGAACGTCTTATCTCCTACTAAAGCGAAAAAAACCATCGAGACCATAACAAGTTCTTGGTGGGAAAAGAGATGACAAAGCAGGCAAGCCCTTCTCTTTCTGAGGAGCCAAAAGGGACAGGCATGTTGACCGCTGTTAGAAACGACTGGAGGCTGGCTCAGCTGGTGGGGCATATGACTGTTCATTTCAGGGTTGTATGTTTGAGTCACACATTGGGTGTCGAGATTCCTTAAAAATAAAATCTTGGGGGGGCGCCTGGGTGGCTCAGTCAGATGAGCGTCCGACTTCGTCTCGGGTCATGATCTTGTGGTTCGTGGGTTCGAGTCCCGCGTTGGGTTCTGTGCAGACAGCTTGGAGCTGGAGCTTGCTTTACATTCTGTGTCTCCCCTTCTCATGCTGTATGTCTCTCTCTCAGAAATAAATAAAACAAATTTTTTTTTAAATAATAAAATCTTAAAGGGGTGCCTAAGTGTATCAGTGGATTAAGCATCTGACTTTGGCTCAAGTCACATCTCCTGGTTCGTGGGTTCAAGCCCCACGTCGGGCTCTGTGATGACAGCTCAGAGCCTGGAGCCTGCTTCAGATTCTGTGTCTCCCTCTCTCTCTGCCCCTGCCCCAGTTGAGTGCGCGCTCTCCCTCTCTCTCAAAAATAAACAAACATTTAAAAAAATAATAAAAACATTTTAAAAGAGAGAAAGAAAGAGATGGGAAAGAAGGCCTAGCTGGCCAGGAACCAGGAGGGACAGTTTCTGAGGTTAAATGTGCAATCTCAGCAGTCGACTAAAGACACAAGACGCAAAGAAAGGTTTGAAATCACACCGTGCACACATGACACCCCGTGACCGGCCTAGGCCCTCCCGTGCTGAATGTGAGGTGACGTCACATGTCGACGAGTTTCTAGGGAAAGGCCGGAAGTGCTGGAACCGTGTGATCACAAAAGGGAGACCAAGCATAGATTTGTGTGTCAAGTAAAGACCCATCAGAGGTGACTCGGGTACCATGTCACAGCACTTGCAGGAGGGAGCAGGCCACTGTGGTAATCTACGCTACGTAACCGATCACTCAGACTTGGCAGCCTAGAGCAACACCCGTTTATGCCAACATCGCTGAGTACGGATCACACGCTCGCTCTGTCCAGACTGTGTTCGTTGTCTTCGTATGCCTCGTAGGTTTTTGTTCAGAGCTGGGCACGATGTCCGCGGTGAAAAGATTTGGGGTAAATAGGCTATGAGTGGGCAGGGCAGGGTGGATGCATTCTACAGTTTATGATTAAGTCTGTCTTGTCGTGAGCCTGTACCCCTTGGCCAAGAACTTCACAGATGCCTCTCAGGCTTGTGTTGTCTCCCTCCCCCCAGCCGTAGGTGGGAAAGAAAGGTTGGCTGGAGGAGGTTGGACTTCAGTATCTCATTCCTCCCATGGTGGTTAGGCTCTGGTAACCCCAATCAGTTCATGTCAAATTCCTCCTGAGGACAGATCTTGTTCCGAAGAACAGAATGCTCTGGGGTATTTAAAAATGGCCACTTTCCCCTTTGCTCTGAAGGAAGCACGAGCAATTTTTCTCCAGGTTTCACAGTGAGAACCTAGAGCTCTAGGAGGTCACACTCACAAAAGTATATGGATGCCTGCAGTTTTTATTTATTTGCTTGAGAGAAAGAGAGAGAGAGAGAGAGAGAGAGAGAGAGAGAGATGGATCCCAAGCAGGCTCTCCACAGTCAGCACATAGCCCAATGTAGGGCTTGAACTCACAAACTGCAAGATCATGACCTGAGCCAAAATCAAGACTTGGACATTGGGGGCGCCTGAGTGACTCAGTTGGTTGAGTGTCTGACTTCAACTCAGGTCATGATCTTGCAGTCATGAGTTCAATGCCAAAATCGAGCTCTGACGTTGACAGCTCGGAGCCCGGAGCCTACTTCAGATTCCGTGTTTCCCTCTTTCTCTCTCTGCCCCTCCTCTGCTTGTGATCTCTCTCCCTCAAAAATAAATCAATAAACATTAAAAAAAATTTTAACTGAGCCACCAGCCCACCCACCCTCGTTTTTTTTTTTTTTTTTTTTTAAGTATTTTTTTAATTTATTTCTAGGAGAGAGAGAGACAGCGTGAGCAGGGGAGGGTCAGAGAGAGAGGGAGATACAGACTCTGAAATTGGCTCCAGGCTCTGAGCTGGCAGTCAGCACAGAGCCCGATGCGGGGCTCGAACCCATAACCACGAGATCATGACCTAAGCGAAAGTCGGACGCTTAACCGACTAAGCCACCCAGGCGCCCCCACCCACCCTCGTTTTTAACTCACATTCTTCTACACTGAGCCTCCAGCACTTTGTCATTTACAGTTCAGGTTTTCCTACCCGGGTAGTGATTCCTGTGGAGGTTTCTAACAGATTTCAGCTCGGGTAAGTTGTGCTTCTCTGCATCGGCCCATGTTTTCAATTTGCGGGGCAGCAGGCCCCTGGGACCTTATGACTCTGAGAAATCTAAGAGTGGTTGATCTTTCAGCTTGTCCAGCTTTTTTCATGTTAAAGCTGGACACGATGGTGGACGAGGTGGAGACCACCAGGTTCCTCCCATGCCAGACTAGAAATCAGCAACACACATTTATTTGCTCCTAGTGTCTGCAGCTTAAGAGGCCAGGCACTGAAGCTGGGTCTCCCACTGTGGGCTCTGTCAATGGCTGCAGTTCCGGTACTGACCAGACTGGTCTCATCTGAAGGCTTGAGTGGGGAAATATTTGCTTCCAAACATTTGCTTACATGTTTAATAACAAGTTTTCCTTCTTCGTGGGCTATTGACCAGAGGTCACCTTCAGTTCCTTGGCACATGAGTCTCTCCATGGGGTGGCTGCCAATAAGGCTGCTTGAGTCATGAAAGCCAGCAAGAGTGATGCACCAAGTGGAGGTCACAGGCTCTTGTAACAGAATCACAGAACTCCTATCCCATCACCTTTGCTGGATCCTAATGGTTAGTAGTTAGCCATGGGTCCTGCTCACACCCAATGGAAGGAACACAGAGTGTGAACACCACTGTGGGGTGCACTGGGGGGCGCCATCTTTATTTTTCTTAATGTTCATTTTTAAGAGAGAAGGAGGGAGGGACAGAGAGAGATGGGGATGGAGGATCTGAAGCAGAGTCTGCGCTGACAGCACAGAGCCTGACATGGGGCTCGAACTCACAAAACGAGATCATGACCTGAGTTGAGGTTGGACACACCCAATTGAGCCACCCAGGCACCCCTGGGATGGCCATGTTCACGTCTGTCCATCACAGCTGGCTCTCAGGGTTGCCTGATGGTGCGGGAATGCTGGAGCACCGATTCTTGTTGGTCAACCAGGAAGGGTTGCCCCTTGGGGGCGGGGGCACTTCCAGTCCCGGCGTCTCTGAGAGCATTGGCAGAGTGAGTTCCTGCCTCCTGAGGGCATCCTCCCGCAGAATCAAGCAAGGCTGCCTGCTGCCGCTCCAGGAATATGTTAAGGGGATAGAAGGACGACCACCCTCTCCATCCCAGATTAAATGTGCTTGGTTTGACCCTGTGGAACCGACAAAAAGGCTCAGGGTTGGCTACCAGGTTTTCAGAGAGTAAAATGAGTTGCGGCGGCTTTCTCTCTGGACACTGAGCGCTTTTCTCTGTCCCCCTGGGGAATTCAGTAGCTCTGCAAAATTCCACACAACGAATGGGTTTTGAATCCAGGCTTAGAGCTCAAAGAGCCTGATTAGTGGTTCTTGCTGGGCTGGGTATTGACCTCGCCTGACAAAACATGAGTCTTGGCTTCTGAAAGAAACTTGCATTTCCCCTGAGAAAACCACAGAAATTCACAGACTGAGAAATTCCGTCTAAGAATACAACTTCAGTTCTGCAAGAAGCAGATAATGAATCTTGGAGCTGAGTAGGGTCAGGCTGAGGAGAGGTGAGACCAGACCATGCCACGGAAGGGCGAGGGGTGGGATTTGTGTTCTGAGAAGAGAGAGGAAAGTAGACTAACGTTGATATTGCTGTCTGACCACCTTCCGTGAGCGGGCAGCGTTCAGTACTTCGTGTCTTGCTTAACTCTCATCTGCACCCTTATGGCTCATCTTTTTATCTCTAGTTTTTAAGTATAGGGCAGCAGAAAAGGTGAGGAGACTTGTCTAAGGTCATGGAGGTGCTAGAGGTGAGGATCAGACCCAGGCAGATGACACCATAAGCACTTTCTCCAGAGGGGACGCAGAGATTCATTTCCGGTCACCGTGGGCGTCTGCGAACCGGTCAGAGCGCAGAAACGCACGTTCTCTATTCACCAGCCTGAAGCAACAGGAGCCCCGTCTTGAGAAGCTGCAAGCAGCTCACAGGCAGCCAAATCTGAAGTCATGTGACCAAAACTGCACCTTCAAGGAGGTATACGGGGTGGGGGATGGGGAGGGGAGGGGGTTAGGACGCACATGTGTATGTGCA